TATATATATATATATATATATATATATATATATATATATATATATATATATATATATACTCAGTATATATATATATTAGGAGTAGTAGTAAGAAATAAGCAGTAAGCAAATTGATTAACCCCTTGTCCACCACCTTGCTTTAATTCTTAAGCCATAAGAAATTGACCAACTACAGTTCATTATTTTTTAAATAATCGACTGTGGTTGGTCAAGTTATTATGGCTTAAAGATTAAAGTAAGGTTGTGGACAAGGAGTCATCTCATTCTCACAATTTAAGAATAATGATTGTGATTGGTCCATTTGTTTACTACTTATTATTACTACTCTTACTGCTATTGTAGACAACGCATTACAGTGCTGGAAGCTTCATTCTATCTTTCTTCGGCATATAATGAACAATAAAGATAGAATGATGTTTATAGTACTATAAGCGTGCTGTAAGCGTGAATTGGACCACAGTCATAGTCAGATTTTTATTAAAAATTATTTTAAGTTCATATTTTCAAATGCTTCGTATAAATTTGAAACAATTATAAATATAAGATTTGGTTATGAACACTGCTCTTATATATCTATCTGTTAAAGTGGTCGATGATTTATATGCAACTTTAATATTAATGAAATAAATTAATTTAACTAAAAAAAGTAAAAAAAGTTAAAGTTAATGTGTAAAAATTAATTAAGTTTAAGTTAAAAGTTAACTTATTTGAGCTTAACAAAGTTGAGTTAAAAATTACTAACTTTTTAACTTCTAACTTAACTTTTAACGTTTTTAAAAGTTACTACCCAATCCTGCGAAGATATTATTGCTTCTTCACAGCAACTCTTTGTGGCACTGTTGCAGAAGCTCTCCACGCTGCGGACACACAGATATCGGGCAGAACCGCAAGAAAACGACTAAATGAAGTAGGATATCGTTATCGTCCAGCCCCTAAAATTCCGTTGACTCCTGAACATCGGGAGCAACGTGTCGCGTTTTCTTTGGAAAACCTGACGACGAATCGTGAGGAATGGGAGGTCACGATCTGGACTGATAAAAAGGTCTTTGTATCGTGTACTGGCCGTCAACTTCACGTATGGCAATTAAGTGACCAAAGATTGCGTTTGAATCATGTTATACCTACTCCCAAAAGTGAAAGGATTTCGTGTACAATGTGGGGCTGGATTTCCGGTAACGTTATTGGTGAATTGGTTGACATTCCTACAAAGATGAACTCCGCAGAATACATTCGCATAATGGAAGAAGTTCTTCTTCCATCAGTGCGAGCAAAGTATCCCGTAGAGAAAGTACCAATTATTCGATTAATGCAGAATAATTCCGGTGTCCATACATCACGCGAAACACAAGAATGGTTTCGGAATCATCCCGAGATCCACTTAATCAAGTGGCCTGCTCGTTCGCCAGATCTAAATTTAATGGAAAACGTTTGGACACAAATAGTTCAACGCTGGGAACCAAGAAAGAAAAATACGGTAGCAGCGTTAATCGATCAGGCGACAGAACTCTGGGAAGAACTTCGGTTTCGACCCGACTTTCTTGCGAACTTGCTTGATTCGATACCTAATCGACTCAATCAAATTATTGATCGTAACGGATATTGGACTGACTATTGACTGAATCGACTTCAATTTTTTCGACACAAAAATCGGCCCTTTTCATGGTCACCAAATTTTATAACGATAGAACAATACTCGAACGTGCAAAATATGAAATATATACCAATTATATTTCCTGTGTTTATGCAACATTAAAATTAAAAATACTTTACTTCGACAACCTATACAAACGCTGTATTATTGCAGTATTCTATATTGATAGAATAAATCTAATATTTTTTTTTTTCAAGAGCAGCTACTAGAGCACTTGTTAAAAGAAGCACTTGTTGAAACCTCCTGAAAACTCTTCCCCAAGATCTTATATGTTACCATAGACGGTGGAAAAGTGCGATTATAGACGAAAGGCTGTGAAACCTAAGGGGCAAGAGGATTACATCGTTGCGGCCACATTGGTATAGGAGTTTTGTATCTAAACTCACTGTAAAAAAATAGCGGCCGTTGCAATCTTGATATATCAACTCTATTAGGGTGCGTTCCCACTTAGCGCGTCACGCGTCGCGTCGTCCGAGTTAAGCCAATCAAATCGTCCTATTTTATTGCGTATTTTACGCCGAATAAAATGAGACGATTTAATTGGCTTAACTTGGACGACGCGACGCGTGACGCGCTAAGTGGAAACTCAGCCTTACAAATCGTGTAGAGATTTTCCTTGGTACCAACATTATCCCCTCCACTTTTCAGGAAACCCGTCGTCTAACCCAGGTTTCTCTCTGGTACTATTGGTCTGTTCTTTTCAACTGCACTGCTATATCGGTGCAATAAGCTAAAGTAAAATAAAATATATTTGTCTCATTCAACTTATTGCACCAGTTCAGCAGTGCAGCTAAAAAGAACAGATCACTTATCTTTCAGAAATTGTGGTGAAAGGACCACCAAGAAACCAGGCCTGCAACCATAGAGAGAGAGAGAGAGAGAGAGAGTCATTTCATGACTGCGTTCGGAAACGTCATTTGAGTACTCTTCCTCTCTTTTTATTTCACTCTTGTATCTCGCTCATTTCAACGTAACGGGTACATTTGGGTGAGGGTGACATTACATGAAGCGCGGAATCGCGGAAACGCGAAAGACAAAATCTTACTAGATCCGCTACGCATTCCGCGTCTGTTTTGATTGCCTTATATTACATGAGGCATATTTTTAGTGGAAAAGCGGTATGGGGAATTATAAAATATTAATTTTTAACAGTATCTGTTAATTAAAATGCTTGTATTCAACAGATAAGCTGAAAAGATAAACATATTAGTAAAAATTGCAGTAAATAAATACAATTTAAAAAAATAAATACAGATGTTTATTTGCACCAAACCGTTCCGCTTTTCCGCGCAAATTGTGCTCCATGTAATATAAGAAGAAATAAAGTCGCGGAACAAGCGCGGAAGAATCCATTGTCACAAGTTATTACAAGTTGTTCAACCTAAGTCGTGTTCAAACACGTTCAGACCTAATATTTTTTTGAAATTCATACCTTGGTGCCTTAGATGAAAAGACAATAGAGAAAAGTTTTGGGCCTTCCGCTTTTTTGCTTTTTACGTACGGGAAGAAATGATTCAATTCGCGGAACGCAAAAATCTAGTAAGCTTTTGTTTTCCGCGTTTCCGCGCTTCATGTAATGGTACCCTGACGTTTCCGAACGCAGCCATGTGTGATGGACTTAAAGATCCTAACCAGCCGTTGCCCGCCACGTACAATTTGTCACAATTTGATGCATGCTCGCGTCGTCAAAACAACACAGACAGTACGAGAAGAAACGGCTACGCGGCTTTACATGACGACCTGTTGAGAAAAATGGCCACTAGTAAGCATTCCAAGCTGCTGATATGCGCGATCGGTATATTCGTGTGCTATTTCTATTTCGGCATGCTGCAAGAGAAGATAACCCGCGGACAATACGGCGATGAAGCCAACAAGGAGAAGTTCACGTATATGTTCGCGTTAGTATTCGTTCAGTGCTTGGTCAATTATGTGTTCGCCAAAACTATCCTGCTGACAGTGATGAAGCAAGGCGAGGATACTACGTCGACTCTGTATTACTTTCTCTCCGCATTGACGTATCTGCTCGCTATGGTGTGCAGTAATATGGCACTGAAGTTTGTCAGTTATCCGACACAGGTGATCGCCAAGTCCGGCAAGCCCATTCCCGTGATGATACTCGGTGTGATATTGGGAAAAAGGGTACGAGATCTGCTCAATAAGTTATCTATTTCATAGTAATTTCAATAGATCGGTATCCTTCCACTACTCTGAATTATTGATATTTGATTTGCAGGTGTATCCAGTTAGGAAGTACTTATTTATTTTCCTAATTGTCATTGGAGTCGCGTTGTTCATGTATAAAGATGGTGTTGTTTCCAAAAAACAATCAGAAGATCAATCATCAGTCGGGGAACTACTGTTATTGTTATCATTGACAATGGATGGATTAACAAGTGCGGTGCAAGAAAGAATGAGAGCAGAACATAACACAAAGTCAGGCCACATGATGCTCAACATGAATGTCTGGTCTGTTATATTTAGTGGTGTTGTAATCCTTATCACTGGGGAACTATCTGAGTTCATCAGCTTTCTTCAACGATATCCTTCTACCATATGGCATATAGCAACATTTTCTATAGCAGGAGCATTTGGGCAATATTTTATATTTTTAACTGTAGCTGAATTTGGCCCATTGCCATGCTCAATTATAACCACCACCAGAAAATTCTTTACTGTTTTAGGTTCTATATTAATTTTTGGTAACAATCTCACACCTAGACAATGGTTAAGTACATGTATAGTATTTTCAGGGCTGTTTTTAGATGCCACATATGGTAAAGATAAAAGTAAGAAAGGAACTACAAACTAGAATATCATTATATTTACTTAAGGGACTGAGAAAGTTCCTTGAGTGGTATACTTCCACCAATTGAGCTCTATTGCCTATCTGTAAAAGTAATTTATGATATATCATAAGGAACACTAGGATTCTTAGCAGTAGGCAAATGGAAACAATAGTATTAAATCGATATATTTCTTATTGGTATTTCTTACAAGTGGTAAGATCAAGTTCCAATGATCTTTAGGAATATATTGCTATATAAAAGATTTTTTATGAACTTTTCTACAGTTACACGAAATTCTAAAGAATATATATTATACTTGTTAATATGACCATGTTACAACATGTTATATTATTTTTTAGTTTTTTTTTCTTTGATTCTCCAATATTAGTTTTTGTAAATAAAATTTAGTTGAGCAGGGACTTTTCCTTTAATACTAAATTATCTTTTTCTTATATTTTTTCTATACATATAACTTATATTTAAAACATGAAACTGAGAGAAGGAAAATAGACAAGACCTATACCTGTATATATCATGGATATAACTTGCAATGTATGTATGGGTGTATATATAAAATCTGCTGAAGTTGTACAAAACTATATGATACAATTGCACAAAGAGATAGCGAACAAGTCTTTCCATTTGTTAGAAGAATACATTTATACTTTGTTGACTTCTACCACTGTTAGTCTGCTGCCACTGATACTTTGTTATCTGAACATTTCATTGTAAGAGTTGATTTTATATGTAATATTATACAACAATTTTATATATAACAATATTTATTACACGTTACCTAGGTTAGGTATGTTACCGATAGATCTTATATTCGACTTTTAGTTCGTCGCTCTTTCAACAGCGCCTTGTATAAACGAATAATCAAATATTTAAATGACACTATTTTCTACGTATGTTATTTTACTAATAAAAATAGTGGGCCGCAAGACGATATCGTGTAAATAAAGCAAGGCTTCCTGATATAATAGATGCACGAATTAATCGTATAATTATTTGCTCAACAAGTACAAAATCCTTTCGTGTAATTTATCTGCCTTGTACCAGCGTTACATTCATGGTATTACCGATAACCTTGATTTAACGTTAAGGTTGTACTTGGCCTACTTTTTCGCGGCAAGGAAACATGGCGATGGGGTGCGCTTGCTCGGAACTGTCGCGAGTCGCGGCCGTTGAGGGTTGATCCGAGTTTGACGAAGGGAAAAAAACACGTGCTATAATTAATCGCGAATCGTTAATCGCCGACACGATATACCTGTGTAACAAATTAGGTCTATTTAGCTACACTGTACGCGAAACTTTTTGCAATTCTTCCATTTCTCTCTTGCTTTATTCTCTACTTATCATGAAATAAAGTGCACTTATACTCATCTTGAAATAAAGTGCACAATAATTAATTAAGCATACAATATACAAGACTATTTTCTTAGACTATAAAAACGCCGCGAACTAATCAGCAAATTAAGAGAACGATACGATAACATAAACATTCTATAAATTAAGAACAACACATGCTTTTAGATTCATCCTTTCCGTTATATTATCGTATTTGCAATAAAATTTACGTTAGATAAGGAGAAGGAGGGCGAGAATCTGAAAAAGAAGTGCAGAAAGTGCAGGTGGAGAGAACAGGCTTGAATGGCGGCGAATACACTTCGATTATCTCGATGATCGTATCGATCGATCGGAAGTGAATCGCGTCGCGTTCAGCGCGGCTCAGATGAGTGGCACAGAATCAATTAGAATGGTGTTGGGGAAAAATCGTAGGATTATCTGGAACCAATAGAGAGAGAGAGAGAGGGACACGGGCGCGAGTGGTGTCATTCGCGCATGCGCACAACGGCCTGCGGTCCGCCATTTATCTCAAAACTTTCATCACTGCTCGGCAGTGTCCTCGGTGCGCGGCAGCGGTCGGGTGTGAGTTGTTTGTTGGGCGCGTGTGGATTGTCGCGCGTTATGCACACCGATGCATCCTCGAGGAGACGCGCGAGTGCACGATGCGTGAGCGCATGTCATGCGTGCGATGAACGCGATCACCTGAGGCTCGTTACGCTCGACTTTTATCGCGGTAAGTGCTGCGAGAGCGAAATGCGTCGTATTCCCGAAGGCACATTTTGTCTCTGGCTGCACTGCACGTTGCACCTTGCAACGCGCGCGGAATGGAAAGAGTGTACTCTCGGGATTTTTGAGAAACTGAAGGCCTGTTCGAAGGACTTCTGAACTGGTGCGCAATAAGTTAACGTGTAAGGAAGTATACTTATTTCGACCCAACTCATTGTATTAGTGCAGAAATTTTTTGGAAACGAACAAGCCTGGGAAACGCGTAGAATCATGTGCAAACGCAAGTGTAGTCAGAGGGAAGCAGCGAATTTTATAGCGAACGACGATCTCGACGTTATCTTAGCTCGTTAACGAGGTGATGGACTTCCTCTCCGTTCCTCTTCATCAGTCTCAATATTTCATCGCGATTCGGCCGTGTCAGAACGGAACACCGACGACGACACGGAAGGTTAACTCGCCACATGAGAAACACGTATGACAGACCATCGATCTTCCCGCCGATTCGAACCTCGCTCATCCTCGAGTGAATTTGACGGGATAGTATTGTCGTGTTTCCGCGTTGTGTTATACTTTGTTCGCATCGTCCGCACGCATTCCGCGTAAATCAGCATGTTGCGCGCTCCGAAACGTCTCGATAGGATACAACAAGAGATTTGTCGCTCAATTTTTCCACGGTGCAACATCATCATCATGATTTTCGCAATCTCATGACTCCGCTTGTTTCAGCTGGCATGGTATGTCGGAGCAAACGTAACAAATCGATAGGAATTATGGTGTAACTCGAGCACGGTCGTAACAGTTGCAATTACTCAAGCTACAGTGTGTAGCTCATAGTGTGATCTGCACAATAATTGATGGATAAAGATGATTGTCAAGAACAAATCTTGTCGAATAGTAAGTATCAAATATCTTTTTTTGTCAGTCTTATTTAGTATATTATTTTTATTTATGTTGCAATTATTTTCTCTTCTTAAATACTATAAATTCATTAGAATTTATAGTAGTATGTATGAATGGTCTGACTGTGCAGTTACTTGATTGAACTGTTAATTTATAAACAACATACGCGTGTAGAAATATGTGTGTAGAAAGATTTAGTATAGAGATTCCTTATCTGACAGATCTTTATCTTATCTTTACTGCATACAATTTCTGGTAGTATTCTTTCTTCTGGGTTTTGCTTTTGTGTTTGCACAATATGTTCTTATAGTTGTGGATAGAAATCTTAAGTCAAATGACACTGATGTTATCTACAAAATATTACAAAGAATTCAGAATACTAATAACACGCTTGTTATGTTATTTTCTAGTTTTTTCTGAGTTTCCTTCTTTTCTTTTTTTCCATTAGTGCACTGCTTAAGTTAAAGTGACTAGGAGCTCTATCTAATGCCAAGATGGCAATTGGAAATATTATCTGTGGTACAAATACACCTAAAGTGAAGAAAAAGAAAATTAAGGTATCTCCTTATATTATTAAGGTTTTTTATTATTTATGTATTAATAACATGATCAAATGTCTTAATATTATTATTAATAAAATGTTCAAATGTCTTTTAATGCTAATCACTATCATTATCATTACATATTATATTGTATTTGATATAATTTGCTATAATATGATTCAAATAAAATAATATCATATTAAAATATTATATGAAAACAGTTGCTACTTATGAGATTATATTCATTTTATAATTAAAATGCTATATATATTTGTACTTTTTTTCAAATTATAGGCAACTGAGCGCAGTTGGATAGAAGCAACATTTCAAAAGAGGGAATGCTCTAAGTTTATTCCAAGTGCAGAGGATGAGCATAAGTAAGAGTTCTATATTAAATAATTATAATAAAAATAAGATAGAGATTTAATAATATATAATTACCATATTAAAGACTGTATTATAACATATATTTGTATTATGCAAAATTTTCTAATATAGTATAATTATAAAATATTTTAATAAATTTATTTTAGAAAAATGGTAATATGCGGCGTGTGCTATAAAGTTTGGTATATCATTAAAATAGCATTTAAAATAACCTGAACTTTTTGTGAAAATTCATCGTATCTTATATCATTCGATCTCTTCAATTTTTCTCTTACACTTGCTTATGTTTACTCTGGTGCTTTTCTCGTCACAGTTCTTTTTTGTTTCCATTTTATTAACATTAACAACTCAGAAATATATGCTCATGATCATAATTTCTTTACTCGCTCACTCTCACTCATTTCAATTTGATTTACTCTCCTTTATTTCATTTACATTTATAGGTTTGTACAAGTACAGGGAGATAAGAATGCAGAATATGATGTGATCACTACTTCCAGGTGAGAGATTCGCGTACATCCTGCATTAAAATCTATTCCATAATTTTGTCAATAATGGCAGCGATCTGAAGTAACATTCTTGCGTATCAAAGATTTTATGGGTGTATGGATGTGTAACAAAATCATATTCATCCTGCATTATTTCATCATGTATGAGGTGCTTATACACGCTTCAATTAATCATCTTTAATTAAGGCCCTACATCTACATTAATAGCATTTTCTAAAATGTCTGATTTATTTCCACATAAGCTTTCCCCTTCATTTTAAAAAAGCACAAATACAAAAATTACAAGTGTTAGTTGTGATATATATATATATATATATATATATATATATATATATATA